TTTTTTTTTTTTTTTTTTTTTTTTTTTTTTTTTTTTTAAAGAAAAAATATTAAAGAAAAAAAAATTGACATTTATGAGTTAATTTCTAAAAATATATTTTACGTTTCTCTCTTCTTATCAGGGAGGGCGGTGCCCCAGCGCCCCCTATGGGCCGGCCGCCACTGCTTTGATATTTTTCGATACAGCCAAAAAAAAGGCAATGGATAAAACTGTCCTATTATTTTTAAGTGCTGATGAAGATTCTCAGTCATCCAGGTCATGGTCATTCCGTAAAAGTTAAAAAAATCCACTGGACTTGGTTTCCAAGATTTGAAGACGGTTCTCCACCTCTCCAGGAAGCTTTCTCAATTCAAATGTCTGGATCCGCAGTGAGTTTGAGTTTTATATAGACAAGGCCTTGTATTGCTTGGAAACATGCAAATGGAAACCGATGAATGGGTTGTTTGGTTCCGTTGTTAGCCTGTAATATCTGAAACCTGTCTATGATTCTGAGGGTCGGTCGTTAAGGAGGGGCATCGTCGTTAAAAGGGGGGGATTGTTCCCTACCTGAAACCTGTCTATTATTGTTAAGGGTCGGTCGTAAAGGAGGTATTGTTCACCGGCTGATGCGGGTACCCCTAAAGGAATATTATTTTTAGGCTGCTCCAAAATTGTTATTATTTTAACGATAAACCGCAAAAGATGAGACATTTTTGTAGTAGATGCATCATGTTGACAGATACGTTTTCAAACAGTTTAGTGAGTCAGTCAGTTAGAAACTACTCCTTTATTGGTCATGTGACTCTCTTGAAACGACACGCGTACCGATACAGTGTTTGGCTTCAAGGGCTTGACGCATGCAGCGACAGATGGCTGTTAATGGACCCATCACTAGTTCTAGGTAATTATGTATTTTTGAATGTTTGCCTCAATATCTCTACATTAAACCTACAAGAACTCATCTCTGCATTTGGGTCCTCAAGCAAGCTCACCCCCCACGTTTGCAAAGACTTTCTTATTCAATCCATTATTTGAAACATCAATACTTTCAATGGATTTTATATATGTATGCAAAGTGCTCCAAGTTGTGTTAATAACAGGAGCCCTTTGTATTAATCCTTCCTAAAAACTGTCTCAAAAGCACAACATAGATTATCAAATTTGACAGAGATTACCTGAATCATTTCAGTCACTAAAGTGGGCTTTTCTTTGGTAATGCCATAGAAATCAATAGAATGTCACGATTGTAGTCCCGGTAGCTGACCTGATTACTCACTTCATTCACCTGCCGTTCCCTCCCCGCTCTCTAATTATCATTCATCTTATTCAACTGCTTCCTCTGCTATACGGTTCAGCTATCAGGGCCAGATCATTATTCGTTTGTATTCGTGTTACTTATGTTACTTATGTTATGTTTTCATGTCAGTTATTTAAGTGAAACAAACCTAAATAACTGACATGAAAACATAACACAAAAAAACAAAGAATAGAAGAATAAGTAATACGAATCCAAGCGAATAATAATCTGGCCCCGATAGCTGGGCTGAACTATATATATAGCAGAGGGAGCAGGTGAATAAGATGAATGATAATTACAAAGTGGGGAGGTAATGGCAGGTGAATGAAGTGAGTAATTAGATCAGCTACTGGGGCTGCAATCATGACACAGAAAGCATCTGCAGCCTCTTTCAGCTCTTTGGATCGAGGGTCGGCTTAGCGGTTTGGTCACATCAGGGTTTTAAAAAATATGACGGAATGATGTTCTATTATTGTTGCAAGACAATGATTTTTTTGTAATATTTTCTATTAAATCATATTCTATTTTCTCAAATTTGAATTGTCGAATTTCTTCTTTTAAGATTTAGTTTTGCAAATTGCAAATTGTTTTCAAAATGTATTTTAAAGATCTCTTTACTTTTTCTGTACTTTTGGTCCAAACACACTCCATATAATGTTCACGTTCACCAGAAAAAGTGCTATTGCTGAGGTCCAGCAGACCAATAGACACGTGTCCCTCCAGAGGAAAGCCCGCCTCCTGAAGGAAAGACAATGTGATCTGGAAAACGCAATTTGAAAAAATTATATTTGTAAAATTCAAACTGAAAAGCAGAAATTTGAATAAAACAAAGTATGAAAAAAAAAACTGAAAAAAATATCTATACATTTTTAGAGGGAAAATACGGAAGAGAATTAGGGCCACTGGAAAAAAAAAATACTGATTTTATTTCAGTATATTATGAGAAAAGAGTCTGAATTCCGACTTTAATCTCAGAATTCTGACTTTTTTCTCATATTATATTGAAATTAAATTTTCAACATCAGGTAAGTCTTCCATTTTTAAAGTTCCATTTCTGGATGGCATTTTTTCCCTCAAATTTCCTTTTCCAAAAGGTGATTGCAACAATAATGGATCAAAATGATCTGCACCAAACAGCTCCAATCTGGTTATCTGGCAGAGATCATGGAAATGTCCAAACCTAAAAAGCCCAACGCTTCTACCCCTGTAAGCTGAAGGTCTGGCCTCTCACCGCTTCGTCCTTCTGTTGCTTGTTATATACCAACTGATCTAAACTAGTGCTGAGTTGTCTCTCTTCCAAACAACATTGTTTACTATCATTATCAAGCGTCTCCACATGTGCCATATCTTCCCATGGTGGACCAGAAACCTCCACCTGCAGCATCCTCCTGTAAGCATCAAGGGTTTGTGTCTCAGAGCAAAGGCTCCGCTTTGCTTCGTTTTCATCCAGCTGCTGCTTGTTGCTCTAGTTCTGCAGAAAGCTTTCCAAAGGTCACTGAGGGTTATGCCAAAAATCTGAAGCCTGTCTGTCAGCTTCAATGAATGACGATGTGAAAATGGGTCTATAGGAGCTTTTAATGCAAAACCCCTAAGAACACAACATTCCCTTACCTGCTCTGTGGAAATAAATATTAAACTGGTTCATTGACCAAAGTCTGCATAGTGAGACTTTGGTCAATGAGTTAGGAATTTTTGTATGTTTATTTAATCATCGGCTTTCCTGCTACATAGCAAAGCATCTCTAAGGTGTTTCCTCCTTGAAGATGGATAATGAGTGACTCCTGTCCTCCTGAGAGAGCAGAAAAACATCTTTCTCTTCTTACCTGCTGAGCAGAGATGAGCAGAACACAGCAGCTGAGGAGTGATAGCATCTCTACAGGGTGAAGGTTGCTGTGAGCTCCAGAAGAGGACTCACAGGGTGCTGGGGGAGTCAGAAAGTGGGCTTTAGGGTGGTTTGGACTGGGCGAGGGAGAGTGGAATGGGCTGGGATTGGGTGGGGAGAGATCGGAGAGCTGACCTTTTGGAGAAGGGGACAAAGCACCTCTCTGTCTCCTCTGCAAACACACCTTTTCCTTGCCTCACTGATCCAGAAGGGAAATATTTGTCTTCATAACTGCTGGGTGGCTCCGGGGCCTTCAGGTCCTGCCCACTTGTTTATTCTAAGTATGTGGACCTCACTCAGATTGATGGTGGTGGAAGTAAGAGCTAAATCTGTACGCCACGTTACAAAGCGCACGTTTTTTACAAGAGATGCAGAAACTGTTCAATGTAACGTGGTTTCTTGTCTGAGTAAATCCAATCAGTGCTTCCCTGTCTGGTTAACGGGATGCGTTAGCTTCAAGGTCCAAACAAGACGTGAACTGAAATATATCTGAGCTCACATCCTGGCAGTATTCCCACTGAGTAAACACTCTACAGGGTCTCCACATGAGAAGATGCAGCTTCTTCTTACTGTAAGGCTGATCCTGGTCTCACTGAGCCAACATGTTGGCTGGAACAAGTATAGCAGATTCCCTTCAAAGATGTCGGAAGAGTCCATTGTGAGCAGAGACGTTAAGAACAGATTGGGTCACCAACACAGCAATCAGAGCAACCTATAGGCAACTCCTGTTATTGTAAAGGATGAAGGCCGACACAGGAAGGTGAGTTTAAAGTGGATGTGTTAACTTTGGTCAAAGCTCCACACGCTCTGTCACACCTTGCTGATTTATTCAGCATATGCCTGATGTCCTAGAATATCCTAAAAAGCTGGCATATGCGGACGTTTCTATTTTTTTCAATTCTGGGCAGAGTCCAGATCTAGTGTCCAACGACACCCTAACTTATGCATAATGCACGGCAGCATAATGCCCATTGGCATTACGAAGCATCAGGTAAAGCTGCTCCCGTCAGGCACATTGCTGCTCCTGAGGGGGGCAGCGATGCGCCCGCCCAGTCTGCATAAAAAGATGTCTTTGATCGCGGTATTAACCCAGCTGCTGTTTACCACCCGCTCAAAAAAACAAAAAAAGGAAAAGAAAAAAGAAAGAAAGAAGGTTTTTGTTGGCATGTCTGTTGGTGGTGGGCGTGAACTTATCACACTCACCTTCTGGCTCACCCTATGATGGGGATGAAGTCTGGAGGAGAACTGATGGTTTCCTCCTGTGAACCCCCTTTATACCAAAACGCTGCCAATACGCCATTATACAGTAGCTGAAAGTTAGAAACACGTTCAGCGCTCGTCTGGAACACATCAGTTACGTAGATATGAGTTGGAGAGAAGTTCTTGATAAATTATGCAGAAGTTATGCATAAATTACTCATAGGTTTTGATTAAGCCAGACGCCACGACTTATGAGTAACTGACACTTAACGTATGTCAACTGTAGGAGCCATTTATAGTTGTTGGTGTTTAGGTATGGTTTGTTTCTGGGTAATTTGTTTTGGGTGGTGGTGACCTATTTTCTGCTCTACCACTGGTGGCGGTGTGGAGGGGAAGGCTTTATAGATAAGACGTTAGAGGGCAGAAAGGGTTTTGGGTGACGGGAGGTCATACGGTTTTTACCGCTTTCTTTGGTACACAATAGCCTGCGTCCTCTGGTTAAATTCTGTTATATTCACATTCTTCATAACTACCTGTCCATCTCACTTGTTGTAAAGACCGCCACTCGGATTGTTTGGAAAGTTTGTTCATATACAGTACAAACGTACTTCAATAAATGGGAACACCCATACCTTATATCCTGGTTTCGACATCCTCTTTTAAGCGCGTTAAATTCTAGATTCCCCACACCCACAAGCGACAAAAAGGTAGTTGATAGACGCTACATCAACCATCAGACAACTGACCGGGAACTTAAGGCCCACCTATGGCATACACTGGCATACATCGAGAAATTTTGAGTATGCTAAAAATTTCCAGAAGTACTCGCCATATGTTGATGTGTGCCAGCATATTTCAGTGTGTTTCGGCGTGCTCATAACTTATACAAAACGTACCCATAACTTATCCAACATATGCCAGTGTTTTGGTCTAAATTGTCAAGGTGTGACAGGAGTTTTAGCCTTTTCATCCACTCACGGGGAAGTAAACACCTCGAGCTTCCACAAGCCATTCAGCCAAAACACTGTTCTTATTATAATGGGATCTTTCCTCTGCCTTTGATACTGTGGACCGCATACTGATAAACACACCTGGGAATTTGTTTGGGTTCACTGGTGTGGTGTTAAAGTCGTTCCAGGCATACATCACAGGAAGGTGATTAAAGTCTGTATACAGGTCCTTCTCAAAATATTAGTATAATGAGTTAAAGTTCATTATTTTCAATAATGTAATTATAAAACTTGAACATTCATGTATTTTAGATTCATTCCACACTAACTGAAATATTTCAGTTCATACAGTTCATGAAAACCCAAAATTCCTATATATGTCGTCCTATAGGATCTGTATTTGGGCTGAATCTCTTTCTATTGTACTTTTTCCCATTCTGTCAGATCTTGAAGCGATACAGGAATGTCTCTCCTAATCTGTGTGTTGATGTTTAACTTTACGGCTCTTTTAAGCTCTTGGAATTTCATAAACTATCTGACCTCAGCCACTGTTTGAAGGTAATGGTAGGAAGGCTAAACTGATTTCAGATAATAAAGTAAACAATCTCTGTGTTGTTTTTGATCAGGACCTGTCATTTAAATCCTAAATTAAAGAGGTCTCTGGTATTTCCATCTTTCATCTCTAGAATGTTGCAAAAATTAGAAATCTCCTGTCCAGGGGTGATGCAGAGAAACTAGTCCATGCATTTGTTACTTCAAGGCTGGACTATTGTAATTCTTTACTATCAGGAAGTCCACAAGCTTTAGTTAAAAGCCAGCTGATCCAAAATGCTGCAGCCAGAGTTCTGATGAAAATTAAAAAGAGAGATCATATCTCTCCTATCCTGGCTTCTCTTCATTGGCTTCCTGTTAAATCCAGAATAGAATTTAAAGCCTTAAAGGGCCAAGCTCCATCTTATATCAGAGAAATAAGAAACTTTAGTTTCATTTTTGAAAGGTCTTCATCCTTTCAGCACCTTCCTAGAAAACCGGTTTTATGTAATTTTCTATCATCTGAGAAACATTTAATTTGAGATCACGGGTGTAAGAACAGGAATTTGGAAAAATAATTTTGTCTCGTTTGGACTATTGCAGGGGAAACCAATTAAAAATCAGCGGGGTCCGAATAAAGAAAAAAAGGTCCAGAGACATTTTTAATTATAATCTGTTACTTAAACATGCTGTAAATTAAATTTTTAAATAAAAAATATAAATATATATATAAACAAAAATAAAAAAAAATTCCATTTTAACATTTTCAAAAAACTGTTTTTTGAAGCAGAGAACAACAACCTTTCAGTTTGGTATACAGACAATTTCCTGATTCATATATTTGATAAAACGCCTGAACTGACTGTTTTCTGTCTTAATGTTGTCAGTGGGCTTTATGCTGCCCTGCAAGGCTTTAAACCTGGTTTGAATGGAGACTAAGTCATTCTAAAGCACATATCAAGGAGCTCATTTTGATCCTGGATCCATATTTATTTTTGATTGTGTTCATGGTGGAGAATCCTGCTTCACAGCAGCAGGTTGAGCCAAACATCCTCTAAATGTTCAGGGTCATCTTTGAGCACCATTTCATCTTTCTTTCACCAGTTCACCACAGTTCTTCCAGCAGTCCACACTTTCTCTGCTCTCTTTTTCTCATCATCTTCTCCTTCTTTCCCATCGCCCGGCTTGCCACAGGTTTGCCTGCTGTGTCTAAAAGTAGCAGCAGCAGCAACCCAGACTGAGGCACGGATCACGTGCAGCCTGGTGCTGGACGCTCCATAGGGCTATATTAACAGGAGAAGCACTGCAAGTGAAGTTAGACACTGTTGTCAGACAAAATATGGTAATTTATAAATGTTTTAAATCAGGTTGGGTCCGGATTAGTCAGCGGGTGGGTCCGGACCCGGACTGTGGTCTGCTAATCCGTGACCTCTGGACTATTGTAACAGTCTTTTTCCCTGGTCATTAAATCTGTTTCAAATCCAGACTCTTAACAAGGAAACAACAGAAGAGAAAACTTTACTTCTGCTCTGGCCTCCTGTTCAAGAAATGATATACATTTTAAGCTTTGATGCTCATTTTCAGGCCACCACATGGCCAAAATCATATTAACTCCTGCATAATACCTTATTGATGCCTTACTGTTCCCCTTATTGCCTACTGTAAGATCAGCTGATCAGAGATTGCTTGATGTACCATGGACTCACTTTAAAAGGAGTTAAAAGTCGAGGAGATCAAGGATCTCGGCGACGGCTCCAAGGCTCAGAACTCATTCCCCCGTGCATAAACTCCATTGACTTTAATAGACATGTCTATACAAATTTGCTTTTAACTAAACCGTACATGCATTTGTAGCATGCTTTCATAATTCTTGCTTTCATAATTGTCAAGCAATCTGATTCTGCAGAAACTGCTTTACAAATTCACAAACAGTATATGTTGTGAATTTTGTTTCATTATTATTGCAGCACATTTCTGAAAAAACTGCAGCTTTGAAAAAAAACTTCTAAATCAAAAAAGGTTTGTTTGTTTTCTCTGATTTTGGTTTTTCTAATTTAGTTTCTTACTACCTTTGTTTTATATCTTATGTTTTTCAGTTTGTTGAATTTCATTCTTTGAAAATTGCATTTTCCAGATTACATTCTCTTTAGTTTTGTGGATGTTATAGTTCTCGCCTTGTGGACTTCTGTGTCAGTTTCTTTAAAGTCAGGCATACACCATACGATTTTTTTCAATCGTTGCACGCAGCTACAGCTCAAAAAACCTCAGGGTTTGAAACTTCACAGCTTACAATGTTTATTCTCACACTGACAAATGCCCGACGCTTTGATACGATCTACCTCCTCACACTATATGTCTAAAAACCAGGTGGGACTCAGGTCCGCAGTGAGATGCCGCTACCCTAACTCGTCTATCCAGCAGCCAAACAAGTAGAAGAGAAATATGAAGCTCACTAAA